TTTTAATTTTTAATTTAAATAAATAAATAAATAATTTTTTGATTACATTATAAAATTTTTATATTATATTTATTTTTTATAATATTAAATATTACGAATTACTTAATGTTTAATTGTAAATTAATTTAATTAAACAATAAATATATATATATTAATTTTAATATGAGCTGAATGCAAGATATTTTTTTTTTATTTTTTCAGGGTTGATTACCGACGCAATTCTCGTCGGTAAGTAGGAAAACAGTAATAAAAAATGGCGCCTGAAAAAATTGGCGCCTAAAATTTTGGGGATAAGCTGAATTCAAAATATTTTTTTTTTATATTTTTTCAGGGTTGATTACCAACGTGACTCTCGTCGGTAACTAGGAAAACAAAAATAAAAAATTGCGCCTGAAAAAATTGGCGCCTAAAATTTTGGAGATGATTTCAACCTGCAGCGAAGATCTTCGCGGTCAGACGTGGCTCTTGTCGGTAATATAGTAATAGGGCCAACCATTTCCGCTGCATTGGCAGACGTGATATTCATCGGTGATTAGCGCAGGGCTCAAGGGTTCTTCTTATGTGCAGACGTTATCCTTGTCGGTAATTTACCGACGTGGAACCAGAGATGTTTTCCGGTTAACTGTTCCGGCTCCCTATTTGCAAGATGTTTTTTGTCAATAAATGTGAGTGCGTTTACCGACGTCATTTTCATCTACGTTGGTGATTTAATTACCGAGCCGGGCTTCACCGAGGCAGCCATTACCGACGTGATGCAAGTGGGTAGTTTGTTTCACCGACCAGATTCCGTCTTTCTCCGACATGGTTTCTCGTCAGTGATACAGTGAATTCTTGTAGTGCGTGCTGTAGTGTGTCTAGTTACACTTAGCCAATTAATTCCTATTTTTAGTTAGTGATCTTTGAAAACTTCATTTGTGAGAACCAAGAAACCATTTAGATACTATTAGATTATTTATTAGCATTACCCTTCACAGCTTTGAAAACCTCTTCGTGGCTTTGACGTATGGTTAATGTATACAGGTTGGTGTGACTTTTCAAGATGGTAGAACATTTGAGGGTACAGAAGTGAATGCTGATTTGCATTCCGATATTGCTATTGTAGAGATTAAATTTAAAACTCCACTCCCAGCTGCAAAACTTGGTTCTTCAAGCAAGCTCCGCCCTGGGGACTGGATGTTATCCTTGGGCTGCCCACTTTCGCTTCAAAATACTGTCACAGCTGGTATTGTAAGGTATCGACTTTTTTCCAGCATTTTGAAGTCATTCTTCCATTTCTAATTCCATCACCCTTTCTATTCTCAGTAGTCAATTTATGGTTATGCTCAATATAAATGGAACTTTGTTGACTATTATAAACTTGCTAAAACTGAGAAAAAGAACAACTTTGATATGGAAGTTCATCACAGATGGCTAATTCTGTTTCCTTTCCTGCCCTTTTTTCTTTGTATAGTTGTGTTGATCGTAAAAGCAGCGACTTGGGCCTTGGAGGGATGCTCAGGGAGTATCTACAAACAGATTGTGCAATCAATCCTGTAACTCTCTTATGCTTTATCAGTAAACATCAATTTTTAACACTGCATATCATTGTAACTGTGTGAATTCACATGTTTTCATTTGTGGTTATGATTTTGGGCATTGGTTAACTGTGTTAAAGTGCTTGTCATACAACCTTTTGCCCCTGTTGGTACAATATTGCCCTGTAAGGATTAAAGAGGATCTTACGTAAAGGAGATTGTTAGCCAAACTGGTATAGACTAACATCCAAAATCTTAATTCTAGAGTTAAGTTCAGGGGTTCAAGTCACTACAATAGCCAACCAGTAGCATTTTGGCCAGTAAAAAATTATAAACTAGAGGAAGATGTGCTTGTATTGTTGCATCCTTCTTATGGATTTTTATCTGTGTTTGGGCATATTACCAAATTTCTCACATGAAAGGCTTACTTAGACAAAACTATTTGGTTTTAGTAATATTGAAGTTAGCAGCTAATGGTAAGTTAGCAGCTAATGGTGGATTATCATTAATGGATATTCTTTTCTTTTTGCCCTCTT